CTCAGATGATAGTTGTTTTCTTTCAGCAGTTTATATATGTCATCCATCTGTCTTCAGGGCTTTAATTGATCTCTGAGGAGATATCAGCTCATAATATTAATGAGGCTCTCTTGTAAAGTAAAAATGCCACAAAACTTTGCCACCATTTGAGGTTGCCTTTTTCCTGATTTAGCATTCACTTGGTTACTGTAAACCTTTAATTGTCTTCCAGAGTTCTAACAAGGTTGGTTTTTGTAGTTCTTGGTTTTTGGTGTTTCTGTGGGGAGACAGGTTGGAGCTGTGTACTCCACCATTTGATTATGTCACTCAACATTGTTAACTGAGTGGACCTGTTGTCCGTTCAAGAACAACAACAAAATGAGATATGCAAAGAAATAGGAAAAATGTGACCCATGCACGGGACTATCAACAGGCAACACAGTAATAACTGCCATTTAAATTGGCAGAAACCGGATTGTTTGGTGCAGATCAATGTATATTGTGTAATTTGAGGAAAAGCCAGTAAAATAATGAAAAATGAACAAAACCTTAGGAAATAGATATCATTAGTTGCACCAGCATATACAAATGGGAGTATCAATATGAGAGAACGGAAAGGGAAGGAAAAGTTTTTTGAAGAATTCGCAGAAACACCCACATTTTGTTGAAGAACACTAATATATTCATCCAAGAAGCTCAACAAACTCATAGGAGGATAAATGCAAAGAGGTTTATAGCCAGACTTGTCATAATGAGAGATGTTTTTATCATGCTCTTATTTGACCTGCCTTATAAAAGTGATAATACAAGTGCTGGTGAAGATTTAGAGAAATTGAATTGTTCGTACATTTTTGATGGTATGTAAAATGCTACAGTCATTCTAGAAAATAGTTTTGTCAGTTCCATTTAAAACTAAAAACAAACTTAGCATGTGAACCACTAGTTGCACTGTTAGACATTTATCCTTGAGAAATAAAAACTTATGTTCCATCAAAAAAATTTCATAGCAGTTTTATGGGTAATAGCCCAAACCTGAATAATCCAGATGTTTTTGAATGATAAATAATGTGTGGTGTGTCCATACCATGAAGTATTACCTGGTATTAAAATGGAATGAATGACCAATACATGTAACCTTATGGATGAATCTCAAGAGATTAAGCTGAGTTTTAAAAAAACCCAATCTCAAAAATTTACATATTTGTTCTGGTCCATCCCATAGAGTTGGGATGAACCCTCCTACCCCCCACGTTTGGTTTAGATATCAAAACTGGTAATGATATCAAGAGTATAATAAAGTTTATCACTTATAGAGACAGGTTTCTAGGGAGACCAGAGAAGGCTCCTAAGCAGGTCTAAATGTGGATTGAAAAAGAAGGGAGAAAGAATGGCTGCTTGTCATTAGGAATTTGGGGTGGGGTGAGCGCACACAGAAAGGATGGAGTTTGTTTGGTTTGAGTTTCCTACTGGCGTTGACGGAGGGACCACCTAGGCTTTTTTATTGGCTTGCCCAAATGTAGGGTAATAGGGGAGATGGGTGGGATTTGAAATCTATTAGCAACCAATTATCACAAATGCAGTTAGGCTGTTTATCATAATACCTCATGATTTTATTTGTGTAACAGTTTTGAATGACAGCATAGAGATGGGGAACAGATTCGTGGTTGCCAGTGTTAGGAAGGCAGAGAGGGTGGGAGATGGCTGTAGCTACCATGTGTGGGATCCTTGTGATGGGACTGTTCTGTATCACCAATGTTGTGATTTTCACAAAAATCTATACGTGTGGCAAAATTTATAGAACTAGATATATACATCTAATGCATGTGAAACTTGCGTAGTCTGAATAAAGTTGATTGAATGAATTAATGTCAGTTCTTGGCTGATATTGAACTGTAGTTCTGCAAATTGTTACCATGGAGAAAACTGTGTGAGGGATATACAGAATCTTCTCATTATTTCTTCGAGCTGCATATCAATTTAAGAATTGTGTCCAGGCTGGGTGCGGTGGCACATGCCTGTAATCTCAGCACTTTGGGAGGCCAAGGTGGGTGGATCACTTGAACTCCAGAGTTTGAGACCAACCTGGGCAACATGGTGAAACCCCATCTCTACAAAAAGTAAAGACATTAGCCAGGTGTGGTGGTGTGTGCCTGTGGTCCCAGCTACTTGGGAGGCTCAGGTGGGAGGATCGCTTGAGCCCAGGAGGTCAAGGCTGCAGTAAGCTGTGATGACACCATTTCACGCCAGCCTGGGTGACACAGTGAGACCTTGCCTCAAAAATAAAAAAGAATTGTCTTCAAATAAAAAGTTTTGTAAATTGCCTACCAACTATAAATAATTCAGCTTCTTAATCTTTAATAAAGGTAATAGGCTGGGTGTGGTGGCTTACGCCTGTAATCCCACCACTTTGGGAGGCTGACGTGGGCAGATCATGAGGTAAGGAGATGGAGACCATCCTGGCCAACATGGTGAAACCCCATCTCTGCTAAAATACAAAAAATTTAGCCGGGTGTGATGGTACGCGCCTGTAGTTCCAGCTACTCGGGAGGCTGAGGCAGGAGAATTACTTGAACCCTGGAGATGGAGGTTGCAGTGAGCCGAGATAGCACCGCTGTGCTCTATCCTGGCGACAGAGCAAGACTGCATCTCAAAAAGTAAAATAAAATAAAATAAAGGTAATGGCCAAAAACATTTTGTACACTATTTGTTGAAAAATCACAGCACACTTTCTATATGAGAGATGCTGGATCTCTTCTATCAGCAGTTTTACTGAATCTCATATAGGATCTACTGTCCATTACACAGACAAGAAAAAAATAATATAAAGGTTGGGAAGTCAAATTCTCATTTTGTGTGCAGACGATTTGATTATCTGTACAAGCAAAAGTAAATGTTACACAGAAGTGATTTAAATTACTAAAATCAGTTAGTTTAGTGAAGTGGTTGGCTGTAAGAACAATGCATAATATCAGTTGTGTGTTATTTACACACCACGAAACAAGTATATAAGAAACAATTTTTTTGAGAATTATATGAGATATAATCACATACTGTACTCCACCAGTTTTACGTGTATAAATCAATCATTGTTAGGGTATTTGCAGGATTATGCAAACTTCCTGACAATTTTTTTTTAACTTTTTTTGAGATGGAGTCTTGCTTTGTTGCCCAGGCTGGAGTGCAGTGGCGTGGTCTCAGCTCACTGCAACCTCTGCCTCCCAGGTTTAAGCCATTTCTCCTGCCTCAGCCTCCTGAGTAGCTGGGATTAGACAGCCTCCTGAGTAGCTGGGATTACACGCACATGCCACCACACCCAGCTGATTTTATATTTTCACCATGTCGGCCAGGCTGGTCTCAAACTCCTGACCTCAGGTTATCCATGCACCTCAGCCTCCCAAAGTGCTGAGATTACAGGCGTGAGCCACCACACCTGGGCGACAACTGTTTTTTTGAGACAGAATCTTACTCTGTCGCTCAGGCTGGAGTGCAGTGGTGCGATCTCGGCTCACAGCAACTTCCACCTCCTGGGTTCAAGCAATTCTTCTGCCTCAGCCTCCCGAATAGCTGGGATTGCAGGCATGCAGCACTATGCCCAGCTAATTGTTTGTATTTTTAGTAGAGATGGGGTTTCACCATGTTGGCCAGGCTGGTGTGGAACTCCTGACCTCAAGTGATCTGCCTGCATAGGCCTCCCAAAGTGCTGGGCTTATAGGCGTGAGGCACCACGCCCAGCCGACAGTGTTTCTTAGAACATTGTCATCATCCCTGAAACAAAGCCAATATCCATTAGCAATTACTTTCTCTTTCCCCTTTCCTGTAGCCCTTGGCAACCAAAATTGAATTTTCTGTCTTTGTGGATTTGCCTAATCTGGATGTTTCATAAAAATGGAACTGTCTGTGACCTTTTCTGCCTGGCTTCTTTTTCTTAGCATAACATATTCAAGGTTCATCCATGTTGTAGCATGTATCAATATTTCATTTGTTTTTTATGGCCATATAACGTGTATGGATATACTACATTTTATGTATCCATTTGTCAGTGGATGGACATTTGGTTTTAGTTCTACTTCTTGACTATTATGAATAATTCTGCTGTAATTGTTCATGTATACGTTTTCACATGGACATGTATTTTCAGTCATTTCAGATATATACCTAGAAGTAGAATGCTGGTTATACGGTATCTCTGTGTTTAGCTTTCTTGGGAACTGCCTGATTGTTTCTCATAGCAGCCACAATACTTTACAATCCTGCCAGCAATACATGAATTTTCCAGTTTCTCCAGTTTGCCAACACTTTATATTAATATTATTATTATTATTTATTATACCAATCCAGTAGTTGTAAAGAGGTATCTCATTGTGGTTTTTTGCATTTCTCAATGGCTAATGATGTTGAACATCTTTTTTTTTTTTTTTTTTCTTTTTGAGATGGAGTCTCGCTGTGTCGCCCAGGCTGGAGTGTAGTGGTGCAATCTCGGCTCACTGCAACCTCTGTCTCCTGGGTTCAAGCAGTTCTCTGCCTCAGCCTCCTGAGTAGCTGGGATTACAGGTGCCCACCATCACGCCCAGCTAATTTTTGTATTTTTGGGAGAGATGGGGTTTCACCATGTTGGCCAGGCTGGTTTTGAACTCCTGACCTCGTGATCCACCTGCCTTGGCCTCCCAAAGTGCTGGGATTACAGGTGTGAGCCGCTGCTCCCGGCCTGATGTTGAACATCTTTTTACATACTTGTTGGCTATTTATGTATCTCCTTTGTCTATTTAAAACATTTACTTTATTTCATGACTTACAGAAAAATTGGGGAGATAGTAGAGAGAATTGCCATTTACCCAGTTTCTGCTGTTACTAATATATTAGGATGGTACGTTTGCAACAGCTGTTGAAACAACATTGGTACATGATTATTGACTAAAGTCTGTATTTTTATTTAGGGTCTGCTGATTTTTACCTAATGTCCTTCTTTGTTCCAGGATCCTTTCCAGGGCACCATATTACATTTAGTTGTTATGTCTCTTTAGGCTCCTCTTGGCTATGGTGGTTTCCCAGACTTTCCTTGTTTTGGATGACCTTGACAGTTTGGAGGAGTCCTGGTGAGGTATATATAAATCCCGTTTATTGGAATGTCTTATGTTTCTCTCAAGATAAGACTGGGATTATAGGTTTTGGGGAAAAAGGCCACAGTGGTAAAGTACCTTTTTTGTCACATATCAAGCATGCATACTGTCACCATGTTTTATGACTTTTGATGTTGGCCTTAAATGTCTCGGCAAACATACAGTTTGTCCGCTATAAAGTTACATCTTTTTCCTATTTTCCATATTGTACACATTGGAACAATGTTACTCTGCACAACTCACACATAAGAAGTGGAGATTTATGAATTTTGTTGCTGTTGTTTTTTAGAGCACTTTCTTTCTTTCACTACAAGATGGTCCAGGCTCATCTTATATATTCCCTTTCTGAAATCAGCCACCATTTCTTCATGTAACCCTGGTTCCTATTATTTGAGAATGGTGTTAGAAACCAAGATAGGGGCTAATGGTGTGCTAGGGTGTGGCCATCTCAGCTGACAGAACAGGGAAATATGCATATGTATAATCCATGTAATATACCTACTTATAAATAGTTCTACATGTAACCATCTGTATCTCTCTTAAGCTAAACATGTGTTTATACTTATACCTTCAACTCTTCATTACCACATGGATCATTCTAACTTTCTTCCCTTGCTTCACTGTAAATTACCATATCCAACAGTAAGAAATCTGGCTCTAACCATCCATCATCCATTTACTTTCTTTCTTTTTTTTTTTTTTTTTTTTTTGAGGTGGAGTCTCACTCTGTCACCCAGGTTGGAGTGCAGTGGTGTGATCTCAGCTCACGGCAACCTCCACCTCCTGAGTTCAAGTATTTCTCCTGCTTCCGCTTCCGAAGTGGCTGGGGCTACAGGTGCTTACCACCATGCCCAGCCAATTTTTGTGTTTTTAGTAGAGATGGAATTTTGCCATGTTTGACAGGCTGGTCTAGAACTCCTGATCTTAGGTAATTCACCTACTTCGGCCTCCCAAAGTGCTGGGATTAAAGATGTGAGCCACTATGCCTGGCATTCCATTTACTGTCATTATTCTTTCCCTGTATACGTGTATAGCACTGTCAGAATTGTTAATCATACCCACGTGGAAAATAATTTTAAAATTTTGTCAACTAAAATACAGTACTTATGTGCAGATTTGCCTTTAGTCTCACAGACTTCTATCTCTTTCCGAAGTAATTAAGGTCAAGACTTCCTCCTGCATTGAAGGGGTTCCTTCATTGATACTATTTTTTTGCGTTTGTAATGCAATTAGATAGTTTTGGTACAGGATGCCTTTATTCCTGGCTTCTCCTGAACCCATGACTTAGGTGAAATGGGTAATTCCTTGAAATACACGAACTACCAAGACTTACATAGAATAAATAAACCATTCAAACAGACCAATATCAGTAAAATAAATTGAATCCATAAAGCTTTCAGAAAAGGAAGAAAAGAAAGAAAGAAAATAAATTATCAGACTTTTTTGGTTTCATTGGTGATTTCTGTGCAACATTTAAGGAAGAAATATACCAGTTCCCCACAGTGTCTTTCAGAAAAGATATGCAAAGGGAATCTTCCTAACACTTTTTTAAAAAGTTGTTTTTTCTCTTATCCTAAAAGCATATGAAGACCTTGCAAAGAAGAAAAACCACACGCTAATATCCCTTATGAATATAGATGCAAAAATCCAAATAGAATCCAACATTGTATAAAAATAATTTGATGCCATGACCACTCAAGGCTGATCACAGTTTGAAAATCAATTAATGTGGCCAGGTACAGTGGCTTACGCCTGTAATCCCAGCACTTTGGGATGCTGAGGCGGATTGATCACCTGACGTGAGGAGTTGGAGACCAGCCTGGCCAATGTGGTAAAACCCTGTCTCTACTAAAAATACCAAATAAGTTGGGCGTGGTAGAGTGTGCCTGTATTCCCAGCTCCTCTGAAGGCTGAGGCAGAATTGCTTAGAACCTGGAATGCAGAGGTGGCAGTGAGCTGAGATTGCACCACTGCATTTCAGCTTGGTCAACAGAGCAAGACTGTCTCAAACAAACAAACAAAAAAATCAATTTATGTAACCTGCCACATCAACAGGCTACAGAAGAAAACCATGTCATGTCAATTGATGGACAAGAAGCATTTGATAAAATCCAACACCCATTCACGATAAAACTGAACACAATAGGAATAGAGAGGAACTTCCTCAACTGAATAAAAAAAAAATCTACAAAAAAATTATTACTAAGATCATAATGGTGAGACACTGGGTACTTTCTCCCTAAGATAAGGAAACAAGATGTCCCGTTTCCTTACTCTTACTCAACATCTCATTGGAAATTGTAGGTAATGCCATAAGACAACAAAGTAAGAGGCATACAGATGGACAAGGAAGAAATAAAACTAACTTTGTTCATGCCGCCATGATTGCCTAAGGAGGAAATTCTAAAGAACTCCCAAAACTATTAAGTCTTTATAGCAAAGTTGAAGGATAGAAGCTTAATATAGAAAAATCGGTTCCTTTTTTCTTTAGGTAGTCGTGTTATTTGTCCTTTTATTGTTGAGTTGTAAGAGTTTTTTACATACTCTGTGTACCAGTCGCTAATTACATATGTTATTAGCCAATGTTTTTCTCCCATTTGTGGGTTGTCATTTTATTGTCTTTGTACTTGATAGAAAAATAAGTTTTCATTCCATGAAGTCTAATTTGTTTTTTCTTCTGTTGCTTGTATTTTTGGTATGTTATCTAAAAGGGCTTTGTCTATCCCCAGAGCATGAAGATCCACTCCTGTATTTTCTTTAAGTAATGGCTTTTAAATGTAGACCTGTGATCCATTTTCAATTAGTTTTTGTATATGGTGTGAGGAAAGGAATAATTTTGATTGTTTTGCATACAAATATTCAGTTGTCTCAGCATCATGTCTTGAAAAGGTGATTTTTCTTTTTTCTTTTTTTTTTGAGACAAAATGTCACTCTGTTGCCCAGGCTAGCGTACAGTGGCGTGATCTTGGCTCACTGCAACCTCCGTCCTCTAGGTTCAAGCAATTCTCCTGCCTCTGCCTCTTGAGTAGCTGGGATTACAGGCATGCACCACCACGCTTGGCCAATTTTTTTGTATTTTTAGTAGAGATGGAGTTTCACCATATTGGCCAGGCTGGTCTCAAACTCCTGACCTTGTGATCTGCCCGCCTCAGCCTCCCAACATGCTAGGATTCAGGCATGAGCTACCACGCCCAGCCGAAAAGGTGATTTTTCAACATTAAATTGTCTTGTCTTGGCATCATTGTTGAAAACTAACTGAACATAATATATAGTAGTGTTTATTTATGAATTCTCAATTTTATTTCACATTTACCTCTATGCCAGTATCATACCATCTTGATTATTGTAATTTTGTAGCAAATTTTCAAATTGAGAAGTGTATGTCTTCTAACTTTCTATTTTTTTTTTTAAGATAGTTGTGATTATATTCAGTTCCCTAAATTTCCACATGAAATTTTAGACCAGCTTGTTAGTTTCTTCAAAAAGGCAGATGGGATTTTGGTAGGGATTGTGTTGAATTTAGATATTAATTTGGCAGTTATTGCCATCTTAACCGTATGAACACTCTTCAGTGCCTTTCCATTTACTTAGACTGTCTTTAATTTCTTCCATCATTGTTTTGTGGTTTTCAGACTATAAGCTCTGTGTTTCTTTGATTACAGTTATAAGTATTTTATTCTTTTTGATGCTATTGTAAATGGAATTTATTTGTTTGTTTGTTTGTTTATTTTTTGAGACAGTGTTTTGCTCTTAATGCCCAGGGTGTTCATTGTCACTATCTCGGCTCACTGTAACCTCTGCTTCTGGGATTCAAGCGATTCTGCTGTCTCATCCTCCCAAGTAGCTGGGACTATAGGCACATGCCACCATGCCTGGCTAACTTTTTTTGTATTTTTAGTAGAGATGGGGTTTCACCATGTTGGCCAGGCTGGTCTCAACCACCTGACGTCAGGTGATCCACCCACCTCGGCATCCCAAAGTGCTGGGATTACAGGCTTGAGCCATTATGCCCCGCCAGAATTCTGTTTAAAATTTCATTTATGATTTGTTTGTTGTTAGTGAACTTGCACCCTGCAACATTGTTGAACTCTTTTATTAGTTTTAATATTGTTTTAGTAGATTCTTTAAGATTTTCTATATGCACGAGGAGTCAACTGCAAATACAGATAGTTTCACTTTTTTTTTTTTTTCAATCTGAATTCCCATTCCCCTTGCTTTTCTTGACTAGAATCTCCTGTGTGATGTGTAACCAGCAAGAGGACATTCTTGTCTTTTTTTTGTTCTTAGAGTAAAATCATTGTACCTTTCATTATTTAGTGTGATGTTAGTGGTGGACTTTTTGTAGATGCCTTTAATCAGGCTGAGGAAGTTTAACTCTATTCCTGGTTTGCTGATAGTTTTTATAGAGAAGATGGGCATTGGTTTGGGTTAAATGCTTTTTCTCGATGCCGAGATGATCACGTGGTTATTGTTTCTTTTCTACTTAATGTGTATTAATTGACTTTCAAATGATAAACCAAACTTTCATTACTAGGATAAATCCCACTTGATCACTGTATGTAATCCTTTTTATATACTATTATACGAAATTTGCTAGTATTTTGTTGAGGATTTATAGGTCTGTAATCATGACACATGGATCTGTAGTTTTTTTCATGTCTGATTTTGGTACCAGTGTAGTATTGGGATCATAGAATGAGCTGGCAAGTGTTTCTTCTTCTTTTTTTGGAGTTTTTGAGTAATTGATAATTCTTTTTAAATGTTTGATAAAATTCTCCATTGAACCCATATGGATCTGTGTTTTGTTTTTGTTTTTGTAGTGGGAAGTTTTCTTGTCTGTATTTTGTCTTGAGACAGGGTCTCACTATATTGCCCAGGCTGCAGTACAGTGGTGCAGTCATGGCTCACTGCAGCCTGACTTCCCAGGCTCAGGCAATTTTCCCACCTCAGCCTCCCAAGTAGCTGGGACTACAGGCATATG